GATATGACATAGTAAACTTCCAAACGTTTAACCAACAACTTAAAACATATCGAAGTACAATGAATTCAGTAATCAGTATTTCATTTTTTGTAAAGGTGAAGTCGATTGATTCAACACGTTGTCACAGATGACCAAAATAAATAACATCTGAAGAATGAAGAGGGCGATTTTTCGTGGAACAAAAGAATTCTGTGAATTTTGTTTGTTTGAAATGCACCCAGGATTGATGGACTAAATGTTATAAGAAAAATTGAAGTGTAAGAGAATAAAAATGAATAAACAAAGGGAGTGGACAGATTTCCATAATATCCACAATTATTGCTAAACTTTCTTCAATGCTTTCTTCTTTTTATCTTGGATAGCCTGCAAATGTTGTCAATTCATACATTTCATTGATTTAATTAAAGGATATCCGAGTGAGGATAGCAATGATTTAATAAGCCAAGAATACTTCATTTAGATGTATTTTTTTTTTTTGATTTTTTATTTTGGAGAAGATGGTTGATGGGTAGAAAATGAGTGTAAGAGAGTTATTCCACTTAACATAAATTTACTGAATTCAGTTTTTTCTTTCCTTTTTTTTCAGTGGATGCTGAAAAAGGGCAAAGTTGAAAGTTATGGAATATGAATAAAGTAAACTGGACATTATTGGGTTAGATGAGGTGACGAAAGTTTTTTTTTTTTTTAAAGAAATATTAAGTAAATGTATAGGAGTACTTATGTTAAATTGAATTTTTATGGAATTAATTTTAACAATGTCATTTCTTGTTATAATTCTATCAACAGAATGAATTGCATAATTAATAAGTTTTTATAATACGGAAAATTATGGAATTTAAATTTTATGAAATGAGAAATTTCACTTTTTATTTTTTTCAATTTATTTTTCCTTTCTTTCCATTTTATCTTTATTGATATGATTATGTATAGTAGCATTCGAAGAATACAATGATGCTTAAAAATGAATTTTGTAGCATTTACGAAGCAATAATTCAAATTTTAGAATAAGCCTTTTATTCAAATATGCAATATTCGTGATATATGAAATGATAACAGATAAGACTGATAAAATATTTTTCCTTTCATTTATTCAATTCTAATAATGCTTTAAAGGAATAAAAAAGTATTAGCAACAAAATTTCATATCGTCCTTTTCTCACTCGAAGATTGGTATTGCCGAAGAACGACCAATACCGCACATAAATACTCCAGCACGAATATAACCGTATCCTTTTTTACCCCATGTTGGACCCCAACTATAACATTAATGATAATGATATGATAGACAAGCATAATTAATTAAAATATAATTTATGAATATAATATAGTAAAAGATTATTTTGATATTTCTATCTCGAATCACTGATATCGTTTCTATTATTGGAATAAATTCAAAAGAAAAAGAAAAATTTTCATTTTTAAAAATAAATTTTGTTAAAATTTTGGTATACCTATTTCTGATGATAAAATATTGTTTGCCGTTATGAACACCATAACCAACCGCTACTACCGCATGATTTACATATTGACCAGCATTTGGACATTGTGGATTATCATAAATACCGAAAAATGAAAATTATGAAATTTATTCAATCTATTAATATTTTTAAAATTATTTACTAATCATATTCCTTCATCTACATGAATTTTTTTTTAATTTCCTTAATTTTTCCAACAAATAACTTACCACCTCGATAAGCGACAAAGTCTGGTTTTGATGCATGCAATGATACAGCAACTGGTCCATACAATGCTAACACTTTTTTGAGAATATCTTCATTATTATAAGGTAAATAAATACCACCAGCCAATTTAGCTTTTAGAAGACCTGGTATTCTTCCTGGACATGAAATACTATCAGCCTCTTTATATGGATAATATTTATCGGTTGTAACACCATTCTCAGCAACCCAATTCAAAACCTGAAAATCATTTTCATTACTTATTTCAGCATTAATCATTCATTATAGATAATAATTAAGAAATTAATAATACAATTTTCATATACCTGGACGTCATTTCCGCCTTTGCCATCACATTTTTCCATTCCACTACAATCCATTACCTGCTGTACTGATAGTCTTGGAGCTCGTTTTTTATTTCTAAGAGTAATATACATTTCGAGCGTTGATAATGCCGAGAAAATAAAACATACTTGACAGCGACCCTAAAAATAGAAACATATTTAGTAGTGACCACAAAAATTTCAATTCATATATGTATATATATATATTTATATATAAAATATTATTTCATGCATAAGCAAAAAC